GACCGATTTGGATGCCGATGCTGTTTCAGGTCTACGTGCTCAACTCGGTCTAAGCTCCGCTAATATCGGCTACGGACGTGAAGATCTATACAATGGCAAATTTGCTGATGATGATACCGGCATCCCTGCAGATTATGGAGAAAACGCTTCTCAAGATAGACGTGGCAGGCTCCTGAGCGACTCATCCTTGAAAAAAGATTGGGAAGATGAAGTTGACAAAGAATTTCAGGAGGAACTCGAAAGACGGCCATCGACGATCGGCAAAGTGCGTGGCGAGACGGATGATTATGATGAAGAAGAGGATATCGACGAAGACGAAAGCCTTGCAGCTGATAGCCCACAAGTTTTCAGGCCGAAAAAGCATTCACAGCAACTCCAACTATCTCATCGTTACTCATCATCCGGCTCCACCCCATCCTCCGCCTTCCAGATCCCAAGCTCACCAACTGTGGTCGGACTAGAGAAGAATGAACCTGAACCTGCCAACGTCCATGACCTCTTCCCAACCTTCGTCGAAGGTGGCATACTTCAATTCACCGATTTGTTCGCTACTGTACCCAGAAAACGTCAAAAAGTCACCGGTGGTTATGTAGATGTAAATCTCCCTGAAACCTTACCACCTGCAATGTCCACCTCCTACCTCTTAGAAAAACCCACTCTCAATTTGTCTCAGCGGTCTCCTGATCAAAGCAAGCTGCCAAGGATGCTACAAGAATCATATCAAGAACTGCTAGCTACGTTACCTCCAGTCAAAGAAGAGTCTAATTTCCAATCGAAGATACCTTCAAGGCCCCTCGTTGAAGAGACATCCCTCGAACAACTTCTAGCTCAGCAGGCATCCAAATGCGCGACCCCTTGGAGAATTCCGCATGACGATCGCGGATGGCAAGCTCTTTCAATGCAAGATTGGGAAAGTGATATTATTTGGAAGCCACAACCATCACCAAATCCTCTGTCGCAACCTATTGATACACTCACCAGACTATCACGACCACGTAATCCCGAAGTAGAGGAAGGTGATTGGCTCGATTGCATAATTTATGATGCCAAGAATCGCCCTTGGAAGGATTTTACCACTCTGCATGTCGTTGAAGAAGACGCTAGATCGTTATCCAACAATCAAGCACAGGGCGTGGAAATTGAGAAAGAAGTTGTTAAGAGCAAGGCACCTATCGCTCGTACTTCCAGCACACTGAACCGAGATAGCAAGCAACAAACATTAGATCCATTCAACTTATCAAATGACCGATTTTATGAAGTGTCTAAAGAGCATCGTCGGCGTGTCAGACAAACCTTTGGTAATTTGGAAGTCCAACATTCTTACCCGGCTATGAAGTTACAGCTCCCGTTGGTATGTGCTTGTCAAAACTCTTGTTTATTTGCGATCTACAACCTAATGAAACCTTTCCTGGCATCGTTTTTGTAATCTCGTCGATGAATATAGTACAAGACACGTCTTACGAAGCACGAGGCTCGATCTTTCCACAGACCGGCCCTCCAGTTTCCAGTCAATGTCCCAATTAAATTTTCAAAAGTGAAAGTCGCAAAGAAGAAAAAAGACAAGGCGGGCCGCAAGATTAGAAACACGGCTCCAGCCGCAGAACTGCTAAAAAACACAACCGACTTGACACTGAAAGATACCGGACCTTTCATGCTTTTTGAGTATTCTGTTCGTATACCTCACTCAAGACTTCAATCCTCCTTGTGACCATTCATATTGACTTTTCTTATCCTCTCGACACAATATGTTTTCAATTCTTTAGGAAGAAGCTCCTCCTGTAATTTCTAATGTTGGCATGGGTAGTATTTTGGTGAATTACTATCGAAAGCAGAATGAGCTGGATGATCATATACCAAACGTATGTGTCATCGATAACTTTTGCAATTTTATATCAGTCTTATTGGATTCACTCTGAGAATAATGCTACTCCTAGGATGATATCGGGGAACCCTTTGTGTTAGACGTAGCCGATGAGTCGCCCTTCATGAAGTTCGGAAGCATCCGACCAGGGGAAACCGTGCCCACACTCTACAATAATCTCGTTCGTGCACCTCTCTTCAAACATACACCTAGCTCGAATGAATTTTTGGTCATCAGGTGCGTTCCTCACTTAACTTCATTGGTCGATTGATTCAATTGGTATTAATTGATTTGACGTGTACTGAGTTAGAAATACGACTGAAACTGAGACGAACTACTACATCCGACCAATAGACCATCTGTATGTTGTTGGTCAGACGTATCCAGTCGTCGAAGTCCCCGGACCGCACTCTCGCAAAACCACAACTCAATTAAAACATCGGCTGCAGACGATTGCCTTCAAATTATGTTCCAAATCGGAGGATGGTCGGATAAGGATTGGTAAAGTGATGAAGTATTTTAATGACCAGAATGAGATGCAAATGCGCCAGCGTTTGAAAGTAAGCAGCCAACTTTAGTCTGTTGGGGTTCTCATCGATTGGATGCCTCAATCAAAACCTGATTCGAAATATTGAACTTGAATATGATTTCTAGGAATTTATGGAGTACACAAGAAAAGGCCACAATCAAGGATTTTGGACCATTCGACCTGGTTTGAAAGTGCCCGACAAAGAAGAAATATTCAAATTGGTGACTCCAGAGGGAGTTTGCTTGGCTGAAAGTATGCAAGTTGGTCAGCGACAGCTATTGGATGCGGGATATGGAAAAGATGCCGACATCGAAGGTGATGGAGATGACCAGAGTAAATTGGATATCGAACAGCAGTTAGCGCCTTGGAGTACCACCAAGAACTTTCTCGCGGCTACTAGCAATAAAGCAATGTTGAGGCTATATGGTGAAGGAGATCCTTCTGGAAGAGGAGAGGCTTTCAGCTTCATCCGAGTATCGATGAAAGAAATGTTTCTCCGGGACGGCGAGACTCTAGAAGAGCGACAAGGTATACATGATTTTTTCACTCCTTACCACAATTATTACTTCAGCGAACACTACCATTAAACGAGCACTGGCACTTTTCTTTTTCTAGCTGAACTTGCGTCTCGCCCCAAAAGCTCGCATCGTCTACATGTTGGTGAGCAGCAAGATGTGTACAAACAAGAAATCGAGCGAATCTGGCAAGCTCAGCGACTGGCCTTGAGTGACCCGAATCCGCCGCAATTGACCCATGAAGATGAAATACGAGCGCGTGGAGGTCGTGGTGCGATCGGAAACACACCTGCGACAGGTATTGACACCCCCTTGCCACATCCGTCCGCGGCGGGGGCTACTCCTGGTGACTGGAATACATCGCGTCGCTCGCGATCTCCTTCTTCATTTAGTCGGCAGTCGTCGCCTGAAAGAGACGACGGAATGAGTGTTGGAAGTCGTAACCATGTAGTCGGAGCTAATAAGGCATTGAAAATTAGGAGATTGGTTGGTAACATGCTAGCTTTTCCAACGGACCTGGTCGTTTTGTTGACAATCTTTTTTGTTGCAGATCGATGGGAAATGGCAAACTGAAGTGGTTCGAGATCCTACAGTTGTCAATGCATACCTCAGACAAAGAAGATTGATTGATGAACAAGAATCGTCGGCTGAGGCACTCATGCCTAGCGATGACCCAGAAAAAAATCGTCTAGCCAAACGGAGGTTAGCAATCCAACAACTACCTACCGGCTCGCTTATTGGGACACCAACCGTAGTTGAACTTTTGTTTCTATCTTTGTCGTTCTGAATAGAATCGAGGAGGCATTGGCCAAACTAAAACGAAATCAGGAACGACGTCTCGCAAGGAAAAACGCCAAAGAAAATGGCGCGGCTTTTCCCAAACCCGGTTCACATAACAAGATTGACGTTGCTTTGTCGACTCCTGTTTCTGGAAGCCAACCTGTTGTAAGTTTCATCCCCATTAATTCAGGAGAGGGTTTTACTACTTACAAACTCATTATATATTCTTGGCCTTCCTTGGGGACATCTTATCTCTCGGCGTGCTCTCAACACAGCGTAAATGTGGAAACTGTGGTCAAGTTGGACACATGAAAACCAATCGGAAATGTCCTCGTTGGGCAGAATTCAACTCATCTGCTGCTGGTGTCTTTGGAGCTGTCCCAGTCTCTACTCTAGGTAACTACACCACTCAAGGCGCCCCAGTCGCTGGCACCAGCGAGCACGGCGGATCGGTAGCGGGAACTCCCAATCCCGCTGCTTATCATGGTATGGAGGAGTAGAAGATAAGAGTCGAGATCAGCCACATTACAGACTGAATTTTCAAATTTGCCTTGTTGGTCAAACAAGTCATGCGCCAAAACAGATCGGACTGGGACCCGCTCGAGTCGGAAACAAACTGCCACATGATGGACTGGATGGTTTTTTTTTGTTTCTTTTTCACGTCAAAAATCTTTGTTGATTATTATGATTAATGGTCCTTCCAAATCGTTATCAATTATTTATCCATACTCAAAAAACTTCATAATTGTTAGCTTAGTGTAACAAAAGCCTATCCCCCCCCCCCCACCCCCACTCACCAAAGAGAGAGAATACAAAAAATTGAAAAATGATTTCAACCCCTCAAATAATTGGAATTAGCCCGCTCTTGAACCACAATCAAACTCATAAAGTGTCTGCTATTCCTTCGGCTTACATAGAAGCTGTGTGTTTTCCGAATAAATGTGTAGAAGGATCTCTTGGGTTTTTTTTTTCTCAAGCTAGGGGAACTCGTAATTCAAGATTGAAAAAAAATACTTTGTGTCATGGGCCCAGCCTGCCACTGATGGGTCATAGACAATTTATAGGTTACATGCGAGATGCAGCTTTGCAGAGTTTTTCCAAAGCCAGATTAGCTGGACCAGCAAGTGTCAAACGTTCCAACCTGCTTTTTTCACTCATCGATCGTTGCATGTGTGTAGATTGTTATTCTTTAAGAGAAACTGATGAGGTAGGATGCTTTAAACAAGCGACGAGACGAAAATACATGAGGAAATGATCGAGCGAAAAGAATACAATCAAATGAGAAAGAGAAAAGAGAAAAGGAAAAGGAAATACAAGAAAAGAGCGGAAACCTCTCATACCAATCTAATTCTCCCTCTACGGTGCGTGCATCTTACTGCACAGACCTCCCACATCACATTGACTACCAACGACTATCACCTGTCGTTGATACCTACTCTTTTCCAAATGTGACAATTTTCAAGGTTCCGGCGAATTAGTGCGCGTTGTGAAGGGTTTACATCCTTGGGTTTCTAATGGCCGGTTGCGATAGCAATTTCGCCGCTTTTACATGAGCTGGTTCCTGGCCAAGATTTTGGGTTTACTCCGTTGAACTGGTGCGGTCGACGGCAGGGAAACGGGTCGGAGTGTGCGGTTGTCTCGTATTGGCTTGCTCGTCGGCGCTTGGGTGGTGGGTGTTGCCAAGCTTCGATCTTGCACTCAGCCAACTTCACCAGTGCCCATGTGCTACCTGCAGTGTTTCTACTCACTTGAACCTTTTCCACCTTGTTAAAATGCAGTCCATCAACCGAGGCATAGGAATGAAACATGGGGCTTTTCTGCACGAGGTGCCGGACGCGAACACTCCTTGTCTGTCAAATCAGCCCCGGGATCCATGTTTTACTTGAGGAGATGTTTGAGAGACTCAGCAGGCAATGACGCACCTCTTACGATGTGCCTGTGAATCAAGGTAGGGGCAACCGAACGACATAAATAGCCTAACCCTCTGTTATCATTTCAGAATTATCGTATCCAAGTGTTATATTCACTACGGAATCAATCATCTTCACGAGTTGGAATACTTTCAGGTATTCTCCCCAACAAGGCCGCCCAACCGGCCTTTACTCTACACCACAAACAACACACACATCTCAGACTCTACAATCTCAAACCTGATAGCATGAAATTGTGCTTTGCTCTATACGTGATTGCCATCATCCTACCATCTTTTTCAACGGCTGTACCCCACCATGACTCACGCCATACCTACCTTGAAAAGAGGCAGGGATCTACTTCCCAAGATACAACTTCAAAACCTAAGCCAAGTTCACCTGGTATGCTAGCTAAACCCCTTGGCTCTCCCGAAGAAAAAGATCCGAAAGGAGGAAAAGATAGCCTCCTAGGCACAGAAGAACCAGACGAACGAAAAGGGATAAAAGATACGGCATCATTTGGTCCGGGATTACCAAGGAAACCCAAAGAACCAAACACACCCCCTATAAATCTCCCCAATCCTGGTGGGTTGGGTCCAGCAGGTTTCCCTCCTGCAAATACTGGGGGTGATATCCCGTGGGATGGATCGGGAGGTGGCGGCTCGACCAAGCCCGGAGGCCCTACGAACGATGCCATTAACAAAACCTCCAACGCAAGTCTTCAAATGTTGGAAAAGATTTTGAACCATACCCTTTCTACTTTACCCGGACTTGAGAAGCTGTCAGACCAGGTTGAGAAAATGATGGCAGGACAGTTAGAGGATGCTATGGAAAAGGCACAGGACACCCCAGGTGATTGGATTTATCTTCATTATAGTCTATACATTTATGCATGAAGCACACAGCCCTGGGGTGAGCTGCTCATTGAGAGAAGAAATTCATCAATTTGCATCCTCACTCCTGCAGATTCACCGGGCAGTCGAACAGATGTCCAAGAAGGCATCCAAGGTTCTGCGAATGCTACAGCCAACAAAACTGTGAGCATAACAGCTCCAGTGGAGATGAACGGGACTGATTCTCAAGGAAAGGCGTGTGAAAGTGAGTGAATATTTGTAGTCTGATACGGCAGCAGGAGGAATTAACCATGTCTGACCTATGATTTGATTTCGTTTCTTCCAGCTTATGGATATATCACTCTTTCTGCTACTACTCTAACCACTCTTTCTACGCTCTTCCAAAGCTTGGTAAAGCTGGAAAAGACTGTCAGCAAAGATGGCAGTAAAAAATCACTCACCATCCTCCAACAGGCTCGGGCCCAAGTTTCGTTCACTATGTTTTCGGTAATCAAGCTAACTGCCACGCCAGCAGTCACATCGTGTCATGTTCCTCCGTCTCAAACAACCTTCAGTACTCAGATTCAGGCAAATGTATCAATGTGTGCAGAAATGCTCACCAAAGTTGAACATGACTTGAAAGCGGGCAAAACCACGGTTTCCAAATCTGCTGATCTTGGAATTGACGCAAGCTTGGGTGCCAATTCGACCATGAATTCGACTGTTGGTCCAGGCAGTACACCTGGAGAATTAGGAGGGGGTGGATCTGGCGGCGCTGATAAAGGTACGGGTGATTCGGGAAGCATCGTCAATCCACTCGGGGATAGAACTAAGAAACCTGGTGGTTCTGATTCCCCAGGAAATCCTACATCAGTCTCTCCAGATGGAATTACGCCAAATAGCGATGCCAGCCTAGGTGGGGGCGACTTGGGAGGCTCCACTCCTAACGATGACAGTTCTACTACACCGACCGACGCATCATCCGCAGGTGGGGCTGATGATTCAACTTCATTCAAAGCAGATTCATTTGCGGAAGTGAAGGTATGTGAACATATCTTTGTCCCGAATCGCGCTGAAAGTGAAACTTAAGATTATGACCGAGTTGACGGGTTGAATTCCGTATTTTTACCCCTCTCTTTCAGGCAAGCTTTGCAGCTGCGGTGCAAGTCACAACTGGGTTGGTTACCTCTCAACCGTCCCAAGGAAAGGAAGGGATCCACATCGGTGCTACAGTAAACGCTCAAGTCAACGTCAACATCAAGGCTCGAGTCTCGATTAAAAGCTCAGTAATAGACAATTTCTTGGATAGAGTCAATGGTGGTAGTGGTGGGCAAGAGCATGATGCTTTGCAAAATCCAAAAATACAGCAACAGGATGGAATGGGAATTCTTCAGGATATCGGAGGAAGCGTATTTTCAAACATCTATTCAGGCATTTCAGGTTCGGGCGGAAGCTCCAGTGGATCATCAACTGATGTTAGTGGTGGCGGCGGTGATAATGCATCCGGCTCCGGCTTCCCAGACTCTACTGGGGGAAGTTCAGCGAGTCCTGATTCCACCGGTTCGAGTGCATATCCTGGAGATTCATCCGGCACCGGATACCCTGGCTCTACTGGGGGAAGTGCAGCGGGTGCTAATTCAACCAGTTCAACTGGCTATCCTGGAGATTCATCCAGCGCCGGCCTCCCTGGGTCTACTGGGGGAAGTGGAGCGAGTCCTGATTCAACCGGTTCAAGTGCATATCCCGGAGATTCATCCGGCACCGGCTTTCCAGGCTCTACTGGGGGAAGTGGAGCGAGTCCTAACTCAACCAGTTCAACTGGCTATCCCGGAGATTCATCCAGCGCCGGCCTCCCTGGGTCTACTGGGGGAAGCGGAGCGAGTCCTGATTCAACCGGTTCAAGTGCATATCCCGGAAGTTCAAAGGGACTGGGTGGCTCTGACACCAGCTCTAACACAACATCTAGTCCTGATTCAACTGGTGGAGCGAGCGGTGGATTGGGAGGATCCTCAACCGGAGGCGGCGATAACTCCACCCCGTCTCCAGGAGGGAAAGATGGTACCCTGGTCGATGCCGAAGGGAGTGGATCTGGAGGCTCAGGAATGGGTGGGGGAGGTGCCGGTCTTGGAGGGAGTGGTGGTGGCTCTTCGAGCGGCAGTGGCTCCGGTATCGGATCATCCAGTAGCATGTCTGGAGAAAGTGGTAGTTGCGTATGCAAGTCCGACTCGTCCACTCATCTTCGCATTAGAAGTCTCGAGGCTCAACTAGCTCAGGTCCATAGAGTCATGCACAAAAGAGGTTTGACCGAACTTTGATTCAAGATTCCAAAAAGTAGAAACGCTTTCTCTTCATCCTTCCCTTTGTACTTCTTCACGTAGGTTTCAGTTTAACAAATCCTTCCAACTTTTTTTTTTTTTTTCATTTTTTTGTACTCTAACAAACAATCACTGTCACGAAATCAACCTGAACTCAACTGTATACTTGCAACATCTTGTATGTAACGAAATTACATGCCTATTTACATGAACTGTCTCCCAAATTGAAATTCAGTGGACTCTTATAAGTTAAACTGCATTCAATGAAATTTGCATACCCACAAGGAGTAAGGATTAAGATCATCTCACGGTGGCCTGACAAACCTGGAATTCTAACTGAATCAAAGCAGATGCTGAAAGATGAGTTTTGAAGCAAGCCTGCATTCCTTTTGCTTTTTGAGGTACCATCGGCCTTTTGTTACTGTCAAAGAATATATGTATGATGGGGGTGAAAGTGAAGATTCCTTAAATCAGACCAAATTTCCCACTCCCTGTGTTTCTGTCATCACATGAAGTGGCAGGCAAAAAAAACCTATCACTGCATATAATCCACTTTTTATCAATCTATACTCAACTGGAACAGCAATTTGTTTTGACACAGCTTGAGAAATCTGACAAGACAGATTTGCCAAATTTCATTTTTCAATCTTTCAAACTGCAAACATTCTCAAAGCCTGATTGAATAGGAATGAATGACCCAGGTTATCTTAATAACAACTACAGCACCTAAACTCCCCACACATCCGAGATAGAAAGATATGCTAGAAGAACAAATATAGAGAAAGTCACAGAAGACACAACCCATGAAAAAGAGATATAAGAAGAATTAATGTGGATACCTGCATGATATCACAAGCAGAGAAAAGAGAATGTCACAGTAAAAAAGTTTTTACAATTTTGATGTGAAATGATGTCATTTATTCTTGGCTCAATCCAATCTCAAAAATCCATCCCTAGCAAGTTTGTTTGATACAATAGAGAGGCCATAAATGAATAAGAAACCAAAAAAAGCCCAAACATAGTGGACCAATGGATCAGATGAATCAGGTCTTCCCAGAATAAAATAAGCACACAATAACGCGGGGAAGAGTGGTGCAATTATTCGCCGATAAAACAGTTCTTTCTTTTCAAGACCGGCTTTAGTGACATCCGTAACGTTGACATTAATTTCACCTGTGTCAGAGGATTCTGAGTGCGCCGAGTATTGTGGCTTAGGATGTTCACTCAATCGGGGTTTCTTTTCCGCTGTGCTGCTGAAGGGTTTTTGGCTGGGCACACGCGCTTTGCCAGTGGATGAACCATTTGGTGCCAGTTCCGGATGCACCCAACTTGCAACTTTTTTAACGGCGGAGTCGTGCGCCATGGGTATCGAGAAAGTCACACCAATTAAAGCAAAAGTCTATAAAATCACTTCTGTCAGATGACTTCTCCCTTTGCTCGTAAGTTTGGCAAAAGATCATTCAAGCAAACTCAACTGTGACAAGCATTTTTATAAGCATCATGCCTATCTTTTCCAGTAAATCAACGAGTACTATTAGAGATTTTATTCGTGGTTAGTTCGAAGTTCTAGATATAACAAAACCACCCGAGTGATTAACCAGCGGCAGAAAAGTAAGCTGGGTACTCATGAAGCTGCAACTGGTCGCGACGGCTAGCTTTAGCACAGGCTAACTCCGTGGAAGTCTGGTCAACACCGCACGTTTCATGAAGACAGGGCGAGGACACGAGTCACCCGTGGTGGTGCCCGACCCAAAACACTTTCTCGCATCACTTACATACAACTGGATTCATACATGAAACGAGACAAAACCTCCATGGCGGTCTCGAGGCACCAGCTGGGGAGGGTTAATGTTTAACCTGAAATAAGACAAGATCTCCAGAGCATATTGAAGGAACAAACTGTGAGGGGTTAATTTTTATCAGCCTGAGAAAATAAAATTCTCCGTTTGCTTCAGCCTCAGGTATGGCACCTGACGTGCTTGAGCTATGTTACGAGGTCATTCACTTGCCCCAACTGGTGAGAGCACTATACTGACTCCTGAGGTTAAGTTAAGTTCAGTCAGATGAATCAATTCTTCAGACGCACACATACCAGAGATAAGTGCTGGTAATCTAGCTTCCCAAAACTTTGTGAGAATATACAGGTTATCAGGGTCTTGTTTGATGACCTGCTGAGGAGGATTGGATGGGTTGACAGATGTTTCGTGGGGCGCCGGCTTCACATCACCCTCGACGCTTTCCTTGATCTACATATATCCCCCGACAGTAAAGCCAAGTAAGTAAATCGAGACAACAAACCATGGCCTACAGAGTGGAGATGGATGAATGGAATTTGATGGTATCTTACCTCGTGAAAGATTGGGATGCTGATTTCGTCGATTTCTGATCGGAGTGCTTTGATGTCTAGGTCAGGAAAGATGGTAGCCAGCTACATGTAGGTTTTTTCCAATGTAACTTCTGTCATACTTGAATCTATTCCAATGCAAGACACAGTAATGGTGCAAGTTGAACAGTGACTGTGCATTGAATTATGTCTGAGGTAATGGTTGAGTAACATCTGAGGAAGAACCACAACCCAACTTTGAAGAGAGTTTTTGCATTTCAACTGGAAGCAGGTCCTTGTGACATCTTCACAGTGATGGTGTATTCCTTCAATGTGAAGAATTGGGTTCAGTACCGTATCTTTCCATCCCTTGGAAATTTTGATCATCTCTGAAGACCAATTTTGATGGGGGAAAATTTCAATCCAGTCAGGTTCCAGTTATGCCAACATGTACACATTAGTATGTCAGCAAAATCACCCTGAACTTGATTTTTCTACACATACTCAGAATTCAAGGGTCTTAGTCAACCGACTCCCAAATTTTTGGGACGTCGTGAGGACCGCCCGTCGACAGGGGCCAGGACATCCTGACCCCCTAAACTTTATAAAAAATAAGAAAAAATTGATTCCCCCGGGGGGGTTTTGGGAGTGGATAATCTGAAAACCCCATGGGGGGTTGAGAGTTGGCTGCAAAAAAAAAACCTCCCGACGGCTGGGATGATTCCTCTCGGCCGTCAAGAGTATACCCTCTTGGCGGCTGGGAGGATTCCTCTTGGCTGTGGAGAGGGTACACGCTCCACAACCGAGAGGGCTTCTCTCGGCCATCAAGAGTGTTCACTCTCGACAGCCGGGAGGATTCCTCTTGGCTGTCGAGAGTGTGCACTCTTGATGGCCGAGAGGACTCCTTACGGCCGTCTAGAGTGTACGCTCTCAACGGCCGAGAGTGTATACTCTCCAGAGGCCAAGAGGAATGGTACACTCTCGGCGACCAAGAGGGCCCTCTCGATCGCTGAGAGCTGTACACTCTCAGCTGCCGAGAGGAATCCCTCTTGGCCTGCTGAGAGAGGAATCCCTCTTGGCCTGCTGAGAGTTATACACTCTCAGAATCCGGGAGAGATTCCTTTTGGCCGCTGAGAGTGTACAGCTCTCAGCAACCGAGAGGGATTCTCGGCCCGCTGAGAGCTGTACACTCTCAGTGGCCGGGAGGAATCCCTCCCGGCTACTGAGAGTGTACAACTCTCAGCGGGCCAAGAGGGATTCCTCTTGGTCGGAGAGTGTACAACTCTCAGCGGCCAGGAGGAATCTCTCCTGGTTGCTGAGAGTTCAGTGGCCAGGAGGAATCTCTCCTGGCTGCTGAGAGTATAAAGCTCTCAGCAGGCCGAGAGGGATTCCTCTCGGCCGCTGAGGACTTTCCGGCACCAGCCGACTCCCAACTCCCCTGGGGTTTTGAGAGTATCCACTCCCAAGAACCGCCCGGGGAAATCAATTTGTTTTTCTTATTTTCATTTTTTTTTCTTTTTTGAGGGCCAACTTCCAAGCAAGTTGGACCTTTTGGAGGTCTGTCAGCCTGAGTGATGCCAAGAGCTAAAACTCTTCTAGCTTCACTAGGTGCAAAGGTATAATAGGATGTGAAAAGTAGGGAGGTTTGTGTAAATAAAAGAAAATAGTAAATAAAAACTGTTAAGTTTTTATTTACAGAGGGGCCTGAGTTACAGGGGTTTTTGACTGTGCCCTCTATTTAAGGTCCTGAGTTTCAGGGGTGATACTGAAGTCCTGGTCCTTTGTAATAAAGGAGTAAACCCAGAAAAAGTCTACTACTGAAGAAATAAAGAGATAATACTTACTGGTACTTATCTCTAATCCAAGGAGGTCTTCAGGAGAGGGGGACTGTTCTTGAAGCGCTCAGAAGGGTGAGTGAGAGGTGTTGGAAGAGTTCTGGGGAACAGGTGTTGGATGGTTGAGTGAAATTCAGGTTGATAACAGCAGGAACTGGGCCAAAAGGCAGGTTGAACTGGGTGTTTGGTGACGGTTTATGCTGGTAAGTAATGATGAAGATGGGGAATCAAAGTTCAGGGGGGAGAAGGGGCTCTTAAATACCCATTCTGGGCCTCTGGAGGCGAACTCAGGAGTCTCTCTAGTTGCTACAACTCTCCTACTAAGCCTATGTGAGCTTTTGATCATCTGTAGCACCTGTAGAGCTTGGTTACAGGTGTCAAGGAGATGATGTCAGGCTTTTAACCATGTTTACAAGGTTTTCTGACGAAACTGTAACACTCATGTAGCCTATGTCAGCACTGCATGATGCATGGGCTGATCCTTCAGAGAGTAATTGTCACAATTGGGCCAAAAAGGGCCACAGATCATCCCAAACAATTTAATACTGTAGTCTGTGCTCATGTAGTTAAGGTTTCAATAATTTAAACCTTGTTTGTAGATTTTTCCAGAACTGCATGAGCCTTAATTACACATGTATCCCCCTTACAACATGTAGTATGATGTAACTGGAGGGGTCTACAGTGTATTTTGGTCCAATACCACTCAAGGACCACAAAGTAAGTGAAGGAGTAATAATTCAGGGGTACACTTGGTGAGCTACCCTAGGTTATTTTGCATTTAGATTCATAATCTGCAATAATATTCTGATTTATACTTAAGGTTCAGAAGTTATTGGGAGATTCTGGCAAAAAATGTTATTTTTCATTATTTATTTAATTATTTAAATGTTTTTCTCATGAAATATTACAATATAAGTGTACTGTGTAATAATGTCTTTATTATAGTGCTTCCACTTATTTAAATAGTATATTTTATTATTTTAATTGTATGTACATATGTAAGTAATAATATCTCTAATTTATAAGTAAATGCTATGTTCAGGCTGGCTCTGATTAGTAGCAGGCTGACAAGGTCTGACTCCCAAGGAACCGGGGAAAAAAAAAATTTGGGGTCAGGATGTCCTGGCCCCTGTCAACAGGCGGTCCTCGCGACGTCCCAAAAATTTTGGAGTCAGAACTCCAATTTTTGGGAGTCTGCTGACAAAGTGAAGAAATTTTGACCGAAGACGTGGAGAATTTTTTTGAGAGGAAAATTTTTGGGGGCAACAAAATGAATTTTGTTGGACTGACTCAAGGGCCGGGAAAAGAATGAGAGAGCCAATGTATTTTTTACTTAGAGGAGACTACGCGGTAAATAGTCTACATACAAGAGGTCAAACATGTGGTTGAGAGAAAAATGAATATCATAATGAATAACAAAAAATAAACAAATACTTGAATAGATGACTGGAGCAAATGACTATTGATAAAGACTAGACCAGGGTTCGAAGACTACAAGGATTGCAGCACTAGACAACAGGACAAGATACCACACAGAAACTATCAAAAATTGTATAATAATTTGAATTCTAATATTATATCATTATTAATTAAAAGACTAAACAGAACAGGATTTTTAGGGATGAGGAGAGAGATAGATGAAATTCCAACAAAGACCCAAATTCAAATAGTTAGACAATTTTGGTATGGCTAAAATTTACCTAAACAGGACACATGAATTGCATATCTGAACCTGTGTGAGTCTCATTTTACTAATATGCAGTCTATGAGGCATTCAATCAAGTCAAACCTACTAGCTTACATTAAGTATATCCCATCCTGTAGCAGGCTATTTGACCATCTTGGAAGGCTTATTTGAAACTGAAAAGGCCAATTTCTTGATGGTTTCATAGCCAAGCCTTAGCCAGACTGATTAAAATTTGTGGCTACCCCTTGTGCCAATGCAATTCAAATCACCAATGCAGTTTTACAATACTAGCTCTGTGGCATGAGCATTTTAGGTATATGTAATTTTTTTCAAACCTGACTTGGTTTCTTAATCTTTATTGATCATCTTTAGATAATTCTGTCTTGGCAGAAAGGACTGCTGGGATTTTATGATTATTGTGGTCAAATCAGCTTGTTCATGGTATTGTTTTGTTTCATTAAGCAAGTCACTTCTTCAATGTAAAATTTTATTTCCTCTTCAAAATTGAGATGAACAGTGACAACTCAACTACAAATTTGGGTGGAGAAAACAAATAACATAAGTGGGTTGCACCAAAGTTATTGGTTTGTCACTGGACGACTTCCCGTCAACATCTGCGGGTCTCCCAGAGCTGGTTTAGAGCCTCAAAATTCAAATTTCTCTGCAAGAATCAAGATTCTTCAGGTCTAGATCAACTTGTGTGAGGGCCCCCGATCCAAAGGCAAGTCCTCCACTGTACATATCTGGTACACTTGTCAAATTTCCCAGTTTTAAGTCACATAAAGACTCACCCACTGCAAGAGGCAATGAAGAAAATTTGAGGAGACAGATAGAAAATGGAGAAGTGAGCATAAATTTTGGGGCTTGGAAAAACGACTCCCAAATTTTAGTCAACGACTCCCGTTTCGGTCGGGAGGTTGTCGGACGGGAGTCGTTCTTCCAATTCCCGGGAGTCGTCGGCCTAATTCCACAGGCGATTTTTTATTTTTTTTAATTGAAAATTCGGGAGTCGTCCGCCTAAAAGGCGGGAGTCGGCGCCCCAAATTTGATCCTTAATTTTCTTGATTATTTTTTTTTTCCTTGGGAGTCATCAGGCTAATTTCCCCAGACGGAAAGGGAGTCGATGGCCCAATCGTCCAAACTGACAACTGGGCTTTTTTCGTCTCGCAGGAGTTGTCGACAAATCCCTAGGAGTCGGCTGGGGAGAAGAAACCTTGTTTCTTCTCCCACGCAGGAGTCGCCGCTCCACACCCATATCCACTCCCCCCACCGACTCCCCACCCAACCAACTACCCAAACCAACCAACAACCCAACCAACCAAACCATGTCCAACCCCACCATCCCTGCTCGCGCCACCAAAGGACGCCGCCTCAGCTCATGAAGAAGTGGAAAGAAAAGGCGTCAGAAGAGGCTTGGGGATGGGAAGCCCAATTTTCTGATTCTTTCGAATTGACTGTAGAGAGGAAAATAGAAAATCCAATGAAACACTACTAGGGTTTTTTTTATCCTGTGTCTTTTTTAGTTTTTGATTTTTTTCCTCTATGTCCTTTTTTACCCTGTTTTTTTTTTCTTACATTTCTGATCATTTTTGAATGTTTTTGGCCCGTTTGTCATCTCTTTTATCTCTTGCAATGGTTTTTCTCAATCAATCTGATTTTTTTATCATTGATAAATTGCCTTTGGGGTGGGGCCTCAGTGGCTCAACCTTTTTTTGGAGTCTCTGAGGGTGCCATATGGCGACGACTCCCATTTCTAGTTGGACAACTCCCGTCTTTTTTTAATATAGAAAAAAATTGGCAAAACATTTGGCGGAATTGGTGTGACAAATCCCTCGTATTAGGTGGACGACTCCCGTCAATTTAAATATAAAAAAGGGGGAAAAATTAGGTGGAATTGGTGCGCCGACTCCCGCACTTTAGGTGGACAACTCCCTATTTTTTTAATAAAAAAATGAAAATTCTCCAGGTAAAATTAGTGCGACGACTCCCTATGTTTTTTCGGGAATTGGAAGAACGACTCCCGTCCGACGACCTCCCGACCAAAACAGGAGTCGTCGACTAAAATTTGGGAGTCGTTTTTCCAAGCCCCTAAATTTTTGTCTTCACACTTGTTGTTCCCTGAGCTGAAACTAGGGAGGTATCTTCAAAAACACCCATAATTCCTCATGACCCTGGGCAAGGCTTGAGAGGTTTTGGGTTAGCCCCCCTCTCCCCCTTCGGAGGGTCTCTTCGGCACAGCGCCCCCGCCCCCCTCCCAAGACGAGGGGCTTAACTTACTGCTGTTCAAACAAGATCCTGGCTGAGACCTCTGTTAACACACTCCGTTCAACTGGCACAGTCGCGGTGCAAAAGTGATCAGCTGCTGAAGCGTGCGGTGATTTCGCGTGACTTGCAGCTGACCTGCGTCAACGCAGATCCTCGACTGGAAGTTCTGGCACTGCTGTTGTTGCTAACCCTTGGTGTTGCACCCTTGCTGGCCGAATTTGCTTGACCACCTGGTAAACTGGTTAAATGTTTCACCCTGCTCTGACCTTTTCCATCACACGAATTTGTTTAACCGAGGGAAAGTCAATCAAGCATACGGTGCCGTTGGCCATACATCCATTGGTTTAGATGATTTTGTTGATCCCAACAGGTTGATCCAGGGGGGTGTTCGGTCCTGACAGACTCGAACAAACTTGAAACCTCCTTGTCGGTCAACTCAGCCTCAGAATCCATGTTTTCCTTAGGAGATGTTCGAAAGGACAAGGAAGCAAAGACGCAAGACAGTGCCAAGTGGCCTCCCTTTGAACACACGCGAGTTGTCTTTGGCTCAAGGGACACCAGGGAGTCGGATATTTACGTACATACAGAAATCAAAAGAGATAAATAGGCACACTTCTTCCCCGCGTGTTTCAGAATCATTCGTATCTGATTGTTATCTTCAACACGGATTAGAATCATTCGGGCTATTCTGCTCAACCAGGCCTTCCCCCAGCCTTGTATCAAAACTACAAGAATTTCATACACAAACGATAGTTACAACCTATCCTGGCATCATGAAATTTGGCGGTGCCATACTTGTGCTTGTTTCCATCCTACCATCTTTCTTGGCGGCTGTGCCGCACGGAGATATACGCACTACTTACCTCCAAAAGAGGCAGGGATTTACGTCCGGAGATTTGACGACTACCCCATCCCCGTCTTTGACAAAATCCGCAAGTGTTTCCCCAGGCCGAAATGGCTTCTTGGGCACAGAGGAATCAGGCAGCCAAGAAGCAAACGATGCAAATGGATCGCCTGAATCCAAGGGAAAAAAGACGCCACTCATTGACGCTGGTTTGCATTTAACGAGTATTCCTCCATCCACCGGCTGGGGAGGTGACCTCACACGGGATGGTTCAGGTGACATAGAGATCGTGCGTTCGGACCTGGGTACCTGTTTATACCTAGGTACCTGTTCATTTTTTCAAGAAAATAGATACCATGTACCGCACCAGACACCTCCCGGGGGGTACCCAAGGTACCCGTTGCAGGTACCTCAGGTACCACCCCTCTCTTTTTCACCTAGTTTCACTCCCAGAGTCCCAAGTCACTTTATTATTATTATTATTTTTCATATTTATTGTAAAATATCACTCACAAGTCACTTTTTTGGCATTTTTTAATATCTGTTGTAATATATCTACATCTAATTGGAAGAATCTTACTTTTCTATTTTTTTCATATTTATTGTAAAACATCAGTCCCAGATCACTTTTTTCATTTGTTCATATTTAATAATTTATTGAAAAGTTGAAACTATCTACAACTTATAACTAATTGGAAGAATCTTCATTGTCATCCAAAACCATCACCTTCCTTTTTGATTTTTTGTTAGACTTCTTGTTATACTTGAGTCCCTGTTTCCATGCAGCCAAGGTACCTTCTTGGATCTTGGAGTTCTTGGAGTAGAAGGCCACCATCATTTTGATTTTTGGTACCTAGGTACCTGTTCAATTTTTCACAAAAATAGGTACCAAGTACCGCACCTGGCACCTCCTGGCAGGTGCGGGGCGGGTGCGAGGGGTACCCCCCAGGAGGTACCAGGTACCTGCAAAAAGTATGGATGAACAATCTCTAAGGTGACAGAAACCCGGCCAACCCCAGAAGGATCACGGAGGGAGACGATCAGCATGTAAGCGCGAACAACGCTGTGGATGAAAACACCGGTGATGACATGAACAAAGTCACTGGTGACGCCATGAACAAAACCTCTGGCGCAAGTCTCCAGCTATTGCAAAAGATCCTGAACCACACCCTTTCTACTTTACCTGGACTTGAGAATCTATCGGACCAAGTTGAGAGAATGATGGCAGGGGAATTAGAAGATGCTGTGGAAAAGACACAAGACACCCCAGGTGATTCAAAATAACCCTTCTTCAATTATCTTTTATCTATTTATCCATAAAACACAAAGCCTTGGGGTAAGCTACGCATTGAGAGAAAAAGTTAATCAAGTTTCATCCTCAACCCTGTAGATTCACCGAGAAGTCGAACAGATGTCCAACAAGGCATTCAAGGTTCTGCGAATGCTACAGCCAACAAAACTGTAATATTTGTAGTCTGATGTGGCAGCAGGAGGAATTAACCATGTCTGAACTATGATTTGATGTTGCTTCTTCCAGCTTACGGATATGTGACTCTTTCTGCTACTACTTTAACCACTCTTTCTTTGCTCTTCCAAAGCTTGGTTAAGCTGGAGAAGACTGTCAGCAAAAATGGTAGTAAAACATCACTCAAGGAGCTGGGGATAAGACCAAAAAAACAAGTCGAGCTGATTCATCCTCAGATGGCACAATGTATCCACCAGGAAATCTTACCCGCCTTGGTGCTGGCAACTTGGGAGGTTCCCCGCCGAATTTTGATAGCTCTTCATCAGGAGGTGGGGATGATGTATCAAGTTCATCTCAAGTAGACGAATTTGCAGAAGTGAAGGTACTTGAACAACGCTCTTCTTATCTCGAGTTGCACTGAAATTCAAAGTAGATTGATCATGATAAATTTGACCGGCTGGATTCCGCACGCTCGGTTTCTATCTCTTTCAGGCAAGCTTTGCGGCTGCAGTAGCAGTACAAGTCACGACTGGAATAGTCACCTCTAAGCCTTCTGAAGGAAAGCAAGGGATGGGAATTCTTCAGGACATTGGAGGAAGCGTATTCGGAAACATCTTTTCAAGCATTTCAGGTTCTTTTGGGGGCGAAAGCTCTGTTGATTCTTCCATTGGAGCTGAATCTAGTGTTGGTGGTATTGAACTGCTTAGTTCCATTTAGTTCTTTCTCCATTTTATATTATACTTTATTCATTTCACACTTTGCGCCGCAGTTCTGAAACCTAATTGATCTTTCAAAAGCGATCTCACTTTATTGTATCGGTCTCTTTCTCAATCAATCAATTGTTTCATTATCAACCATTGTCGCTTTGTCGCTAACCTCAAACACTGTCTTAGGTTCGTTTCTCTTATCAACTCTTTGTTGTTCATAACTTAACATTGTGTTCTATTCAGGTTTGTGATCTATCAGGTCATCTTCAGTTTCATCGTGTAGATTTACTAAAGATCACCTTCATCTCAAAGGTGTGTATATGAAAAAGAAATCAATCAATTGTTTCATTATCAACCATCGTCGCTTTGTCACTAACCTCAAACACTGTCTTAGGTTTGTGATCTATCAGGTCATCTTCAGTTTCATCGTGTAGATTTACTAAAGATCACCTTCATCTCAAAGGTTTGTGATCTATCAGGTCATCTTCAGTTTCATCGTGTAGATTTACTAAAGATCACCTTCATCTCAAAGCTTGTGGTTCAATAAGTGGCAACAATGATTCACCTGGCACAGGCTTCAGTAAAAGTGGCGGAATGAGTGGTCTTGGCTTTGTAACGGGAGGTGGCAAAAAGTCCAACCCGCTTGCTTCAGGGAACAACGGTACCCAGGTGGATGCCGATGGTAGCGGTTCTGGCGGCCCAGGAATGGGTGGCAGGGGTTCCGGTTCTGGAGCAAGTGGTTCTTTGGGCGACGCTGGGGCCGGTGGACTATCCGGGCCAGGCGAAAGCACGGGCGGCGGCTCTTCGGGACATGCCGGGGGCGCTGGCTTCGGCTCTGGATCATCGGGCGCAATGTCTGGAGCTGGCAGTGGTGATGACGGTTGTGCATGCAAGAGCGACTCGTCCACCCATTTGCGTATACGAAGCCTTGAGCAGTAACTTTCTCAAGTTCATAGAATCATGCACAAGAGAGGTTTGACCGAACTTTGAAGATCAACCCATTTACAAGAGCAGGGTCCCAAGTTGAACTTCCGCTTTCAACTTGAGCCGCAATCACTTCTTCGTTCTATTCGTGCTTGCATAGACCCGAACTAGAAGATACATTTTTTTTTCTCGTTTTAAACTTTAATTGTATTTTTAAGAACAGTCACTGTCAGAAAAACACACTAAAATCAGCTGTAGACCCTTTATAAACAAAACGAATCGACATGTCCAACTGGTCTTTTGCAGAGATGAGATTTGGTGAATGAACAATGAACAATGGAGATGGGTTTGCGTGGGAGCTACGATTTTCCAACCAGAATTATAACGAGATCATTCCAATTCCAAGCTGCATTGCATCCGTTCTGAAGTGATAGTGGCCCTTTGATGCTGCAGTTGAGGTCTCTGGCGAGTTTTGTTAAGTTATCCAACATCCCGGGGTTCAGGAGAAAGGAATTGAGAACTCTTGGGGTCTTTGAAGCTGCTTAGAATTTGAGACATCATGTGTCGACTTGAACCACTTCCAAGTTAACAAATTTGTGGTCACAGTAGCGAATATAATCATATTGATCGTAGGAAGAAAATGACAATTGCACTTGGTTGACAGGAATCATTAATATGAATGAACAAGTGTAAGATAACAAGAAAAAAAAAATGCTGACGTGCCCTAGGTACACGAAAAAAAAAATCGATTCAAGTTTGGTGGTTCCTGAGAATATCGCAGAATTTGTGAATCTAACTTCGCCAATACAATACGCATATACAACCCAACCGACGTGCCGAAAACAAAGGAAATTTTACAGGCATGGGATGATGACTTCTGCCATTAGTGCGATGTGATCAGAAGGCTCGACACCTAGGCGTGGAAGGCCAGGCTCAAGAGTCTCAGTCCGATGAGTGGGCAAGAGTGCGCGGACTTCGATGTTACTGATCGAATTGATTCCTTTACAAAGAACCCATATATAGTCGAGCGTGCATCTCCAGAGAGGTGTAAAATTTGCTACAGAATCGGTGTGATACATGAGAACCAGAAGTTTGGGCAAAGAGATCGGGCGATCAGATTAAAAATATCAAGCAAGGAGAGAAAGTGGAGGAGAAGCCGACGCAAGAAGGTAAGGCAAAGGTAGAGCCAGAACATTGAATGTGCGCTTACTCCACATTGGCTCGTATTGCCCAGATCCTAGTTCGTCTGGACAAGGTGTCGCCTGTGCTTTCTCTCCTTGGTCTTTGAATTCAGGCCTATCCTTGAACCAGTTATCCTGTTCACCGGACATCTTCTCTGCCCAATTCCCATAAAGACTCAACCAACGACGTGAGCCAAACAGCTCCTTCAATTCATGAATGTCGAATAGGCCATCTTCCACTCGACTCGGTCTGACGTCTTTGAAGACCCGGTCTTCATCTCCCTCGAAAGTCACGTAAGTCTCGTTTGTTTTCTTGTTGAGTAGATGATCAGCTGATTTATGTATTAGGGTCGATTCCTTCAAAATGAGTTGTTCTTTCTCTGGAAGGGCAGCGCCAGATAGTAGTCGATAAGAGGGTCCACCAGGCTGTTCGTTCAAGTCACCTGCTAAGAAGACAGGCCAGTGGGTTGTATCCCGATCCTGGATCTCAAATTCGCCGAGGGCCTTGGCGAGGAAGGCCGTTTGACGAGTGCGTTCGTATGAATACCGGGAGTGCCAAAACAGATGGGCTGTACCGATGACCAAGCCCCCAGGGTGATGTTTAAAAGCTAGCCCGGCGATCAGTCCGACGTTCCTGGTTGCCCTACTCAGGCCCACACGCGACTTGAACTCCTGTTCGTCGAACCTGATCACCTTCTGATCAACCAAGTGAAGCAAGTCCTGTTTCCATCCAATCAACAATCCGTGCTGCTTTCCATCTTCTTCGTATCCACCAATCACGTGCAGTACTTCGTATCCCGCTGCGCAGAGCACCGTTTGGTGATCTGCTAGACGATCCACTTCCTACTGTGCATGAAAACATCTTCCGAGTCAGACTCGTGGAAACGGATGAGGCTAGAGAACAGAAAGGAAATCATGCGGAATGTCGATCAAGGTTACTTACCTGGAGACAGATCACATCGGGTTCGTAATCGACAATCTCTTGGGTAATTGCTGGCCCCCTATCTTTCCATTTCAGACAATCACTTCCGGGGAATAAAGTCCTTCGAACGAGACATTGTGCTAGAATCTTCAGAAAGAAGAAAGAAAGAAAAAAAAAAGGCAAGGATCGACAGAGTTTGAGTTTTTTTATCTTTCCATCTTAGATGACCAAGTCAAATCATAAATAATGGGGATGGTGATCATGAATTGACGACTAAGCCCTACATTCCAAGTCATAATCTTGACCGATTTTGCACTTTGATTGCCAGCCGATTGGTCCATAGTTCCAGGAGCGACCGATTTCATTTCTCTGAGTTTGTAAGATTGACGAGCCTTTTGAGGATCGTGGATAGGATTTGTGCTTGCTGAGACTGTCGGGTCTAGGTTGGCAGCATGCTGCTTTCTCTCGGCTTTCTTCTCGGCTCTGATCCTTCGCTTCTCTGCGATCTGGCTTTCATCGTCCATCTTCAGTCGGCCTCGGTTCCCAAGATGTGTACGCCTAGGGAGAGAATTCAGCCGATGTGTACTTTGATGTTCGCTGGTCGTTGCTGGTCGAATGTTGTGTTCTGGTTGGCCGGCTGCACTCACCTCGACCCTCGAAATAAATGTGCACCACAATCCGCGGCTGACACAGGCCTCATCTTCCCAAGGGCTAACTATGTATACAGATGGGCTCTTTGAGGAAAACTCAGCAAACATCACATCTTTGACTTTCATTCAATCTCTCTTCCAAGAGCACTAACATCCTCCCAGTGGATTTTCCTTTTCCTTTCGGTGTATTTTTGTTGTATGTATTCATTTTTGAACCTTTACGGTCCGACTCATTTGCTCGTTTGAATTTGGGCTTGATTGTCTGATGGAACTCAGAGCTACTCTGCTTACCACTATGTATTTTTGAATAAAGAACAACACGTGGCTTATAGGGGCATCTTGCCTGTCGGTTTTCATCCTCCATTATAACCCAGTGAGCCTCTCAAATAAATGCACATGTGGCCGCATATTCCAAGTTTCCACAGCAGTGGTGTTTTGCTGTTTTGATTGGTTTGGGTCAAGCGGACAAAGACGATAGATATGTTTGCAGGAAGAAAAAAAAAACAAGGACGAAAATGAAGAGCAGTTAATCACTGTTATTGAGAGAATCTTCATTCCTCGCGGTCGAAGAGAGAAGCTGATGGAGGGCACGAATGTGTGGAGTTCCTGCCTTGCAACAACCTCCCAAGACGATCCCAGCCCAAGAGGCTGAAAAGTTGGATGCGATGGTAAAGAGCTGATTTGCCCATTCTTGGTGAGTGATCGGAGAGCCAGTCCAGGACCGATTGACGGAATCGTAGGTAGGTCCACCATCAGGATAGAGCCAAAGCCAAGTTTTGGAGTGATCTACCGCCGAAGTCCTCCAAGCTTCGAGGATAGGTTGGAGATTACCAAGCTTGGTGCAGTTGACTCCAACCCCTGAAGGCTCGGCTAACTCGGCATCGGCATCGGTAATTAGGGCGGCCTGCAAGACTTGGGAAGGATTTTCACCGGTGGGGAACTGGCCCGTGGATGTCGGGAAAACAAAGCTGATGACCCAAGGTTTGGAGGATGAGTCGGGGTTCGCTCCAGTAGCCGATCTTCGTATGAGAGCGTGGAGTGTCCGTTCGAATTTCTTCCAAGCGCGTCGGATGGCACGCGCCTCAGTGAGGTTCGGTACCGTCTCGAAGAGCACGATGTCGACCTTCTCCCACGTCGAATAGTCTTCAGCGTAGTCCATCAATCGGTCAAAATGGAAATTCACCAGCTTCTCTTCGCTATCATATGGCGCCGGATAGCAGCCGCTGTACTCCTGTCCCGGGGTTAAGGTCGCGCCATAGGGTCCCAGCGAAAGCGCCACTCGGGCATTGCTGCCGCTCAACGAATCGCGTGCCAGAGCGACGGAACGGCGGAGTAGTTGAAGACTAACATCGCTTCCGACATCTTTCTCCTCTGTTTCGCCCCTGGAAGATTGAGACAGCAGGGATCTGAAGCCTTCGAGAGTTGCTTGATAGCTGGTGAGTTCGTCACATTTGTCAAAGCAAATCCCGATCGAGTCAAAAAGACAGCAACATAGAAAGTGGGATTAGCATTGAAATAAGGGTATTTGAGGCCCAAAGATGCCGGAGATTATGTATTCCAGAAGCAGATGAGAAAGATGCAGAAGGAGGCGCTGGTAGATGGTGAAGTGGCAGCGGGAAGGCAGACCTGGCAGTTGAGATGATTTGGGCCCCAGCCTGTTCCCAGGCATGATGGAGACTCGAGAGTATCTCGGGCCGGTTGAGCAGCAGCTCGGATGACCAGAGCTGACTCTTCAGCCGGCATCCAAACTCGTCCTCAAGCGTCGTCCCCGATCCACCATCCATCAGAACAATCTTAGGATGGCCGGCATGGTTGGGAAAGAGTCTTTCCATCTTCTTTCCGATGAGAAGTAAAGTATGTATCGAGTCTGCCCCGCCGGCAACACAGCCTGAAGAAGAAGCCTCCGGTGATTTATATCTGTGGGCGGCGAAAGGGGCTAAGCTGAGCTGTGTAAGCCCCAGAACTGGGCTACACAGCAGTCCACCACTATTTAAGATGCACGGCCGAGTGGGGTTGCCAGCAGCGCACATCTTTCTTCCAGATGACTCTTCCCCGGCAAGACAAACAGCGGACCACAGCCAGACTCAAGATCATCCTGCTCATCACCAGCCAGCTTATCGGAGCAGGACTATTCGCCAGAGGTTTCTTCCCTGCACACAAGCCACCCAGCGGCTATGGAGCGCCACCACACCCGACGGGAAAGGCACCGTTCGACAGACTGGTCTTTGTTCTGATCGATGCTCTGCGAAGGTAGGGCCCTCATTGCAACCTCTTTTGTGTTGTTTTTTCGGCGCTAATATGGTTTCATCTTGTGCTGTAGCGATTTTATGTTTGGTACGGACTCCAGGATGAATTTCACTCAATCGTCAGTTTTCGGGTTGAGGCTTAAAATGGTTCTCGGATTGGAACTGATAGTTCAATTTTTGGCTGATGGTAAATATATATAGGCTCGTTCGGGATGGAAAGGCACTTCCATACACTGCTATCGCTCAAGCGCCTACTGTAACCCTACCACGACTTAAGGCAATGACCACTGGTGGGTTTGTTTCTAAAGAAATGTATTTTTATATAAATAAGTAAACTATCTGGACTGAGACTCAATTCAATCCTTTAGGCATGAATCCCCAATTCCTGGACGCGGTCTTGAACATCGCTGATTCAACTGATCAGGGTGCTCTCCTAGAACACAGTGACTCTTGGCTACGTCAGCTCCTGTTTTCTTCTCAAGTGGCTTCACCAACCAGCCCACTCGTCATGCAGAGAAAGGCAATATTCTATGGCGATGATACCTGGCTGCGTCTCTTCCCCTCTTCCTGGTTTGCGGAGGTGGATGGCGTCTCAAGTTTTTATGTCACCGTCAGTCTTTCTCTCTTGTTTTCCTTCTAACACGACCCGAGGGGAAATTTCAGTCGATGGAGCAGTTCAATCTGACATCTCCTCGCTGATTTTGTTTTTACCAAAGAGACTAGGACACTGAGATTGTCGACTATAACGTCACCAGACATCTCGATCACGCGCTCTCAGAAAAACAGCAACAGGAATGGGATATCGCCATTCTGCACTATCTTGGCTTGGACCATGTTGGACATTTGGGAGGCTCAAAATCGTAAGTGGCTAAACACCCATCTGATCCTATTTTTAGTGAGCCTCACGCACAATGATAAGTATGTACACTCAACGGTGTCTAGCCCTCTCCATAACGTCTTGTTTACAGTATCTTGATGGGCCCCAAACAGGAACAATTAGACCTTGCTATCTCCCGCATTTTCGATGGCATTTCAAAGCATGACCTCCGATCAAAAAAGAAAACACTTCTTCTTGTCGCCGGTGATCACGGGATGACTGATGCTGGTAACCACGGCGGATCATCTAAGGAGGAACTGTCTACAGTTAGCTTACGCTCGTCCTATCTTTCCTACTTGTATCTCACATTGATCGGGATGAATGATTTTCTTTTATTCTTAACAGGCGCTTTTACTCGCTTCACCTTCCTTCAACCGCGTTGGGTCACTTAGTGCTCAAAAGGACGAGCCCGAGAGAGTACAGCAGGTGGACATCGTGCCAACCCTTGCCATGCTTTTCGGTACTGGAATACCTCCCGCTAGTATAGGAGTTGCTATCGAATCAGCCCTTGAGTTATCTTTTGGTGATCAGAAACCCCACAATGTGCACCTCGAGGCTGCGTTGAGAAATCATGCAGTTCAATTGACCACTTTACTCCAGCAAGTATTTGGAGGGCTCTCCCCAGTCAAAGCTTTCTTGCATCTTGACGATCTTGGAACCGAAAACGAAAACTTGGAAGCTATCATCAGCCGGTTGGATGTTGATCGAGTCAGAACTGTCGGTGTGATTTCTGGACTCATGATCAGTTCTGTCATTCGAGAAGACAAGAATCGCGGCTAAATCAGTTGGAATTGGTCCAGATTCTCCACAGGTCTCAACAGTATCTTCTGACTCGATTCTCGGGTTACCATCTGCCAAGCATGGTTCTGGGCCTAATCTTTTTGACGATTGCGGTCGTTGGCTTCATATTTGAAGCCTTCCGGGGGCGTGGAAGGCGCTTGAATAATCGGGAGATCATGGTCGTCGTTCTAGCAGCTGTCCAACTCGCGAGCTTCGGATCGACGAGCTTCATTGAAGAGGAACATGAAGCCTGGTTCTTCTTAGGCGCCTCCTCACTCTCCATCCTCGCCTTCTTAGCCCCAACTACTAGGAAGTATCATTATCTCCTTGGAGTCGTCCTCATTCGAGTCTTGCGGGGCTGGTCTCACAATGGTCTGTCGCTTGTTGCTACGCTTGGATCTTGCTTTTCCCTGCTATGCTCATCTTTCTAGATCCCTAATATTGTTCTTATTTAGGACAGAAAGCCGGTGTCGACAATAGCATTTCCAACTTTGTACATGGAAAACCATGGTTATGTCATCTGCTAGACCCTCTGGGGGTCTATTACTTGGTTTCAAGTCAGACCCGAAGTGGCCCAGGTGGTGGTCATTATAGTTCGATGGGAATGCTACTGATTATTGGCGCAGGTGTCTTCAGTCTGACGCCGATGGATCGGCCGTTTCTCTATCTGAGCAGGGACATTGGAGTGTTACAGGATAGGGAGACTCGGCCGCGATTACTGTATGGCCTGTTGGTCTCTGGCTTAGGCCTCAGTTTCTTTCGGGATATGTCTAAACAATCGTTCCGGGGAGCATTGCGGATCGCGATCCTGGTCCTCTTGCGATCGCTGACTAAGATGGAAAACTATCCGGTCCTCTGGCTTTCCTTTTTCGCTGGTGATCTGTGCCATTTTTTGACGAGCAATATAAAGAGCATTGATAGTCGGGAAGGTGAAGTTGAGCAGGAGGGGCCGATCCTCTCGACTTGGATCCAATTGGTCTTCTTCAAATCCACATTCTTTGCCCTGGGAGGCTCGAATTCGTTGGCAACGTAAGCTCTTTGATCGTCTTTTTGGCCCTCCTAATCGCCATCTCATCTTGCTAGCGTGGATGAAGGGATAGATTATTGAATGATTCCATGGTTTTTCTTTTTCTTTTACCGTCGACTTTTGTAGGGTGGATCTCTCAAATGCATACAATGGATTACGATCCTTCTCATTACCGATGGTGACGCTACTGACGTTCCTGTCGAACTTCTCAGGGTCGATGATCGTTGGGCTGGGAGGGCTAATCCAGTCATCGATGAGGAGGGAAGAAACAGGAAGGGAAGAGATTGGATGTCGACAGGCGACGACGCTCGTCCGCTCGGCCTACTTTAGCCTCCACTTCTTGCTCATCTCGATCCTCAGTACTCACTTCTCAGATCATCTCTTCGTCTTCTCTGTCTTCTCTCCTGCTGTCCTCTACGCGTTTGTCTGGTTCTTTGGCTTCCATACTCTTCTATCTCTCTTGGAGATCCTCTCTTCCTTTCTCTAATCATTCCTTTTTCTATCATCTTACTGTGTTGCAATCAAGAAGGAAAAACCCCATGGACTTGATGTGTTCAGGGTTGGGGAACCTGTTGAAATTGGGCTGCAATTTATGAAATTCACAGCAAAGACGCAAAATCAGCTGCTCAAACCTTTCACTCTTTTTTTTGGGCATGCATTGAAGATCTTTGAGGTTTTCCTTTCAAACAAGAAATGTAAAAATCAAGATGCATCCGATGACATGTGTCAGTGCAAACGAAAGACTGCTGGAAAAAGGTGACCAACAGGTGTGGAGTCTGATATCACCCACTGTAGAGTTAATGGCGCCACCACTAGGTGCACGCTGATGTGCAGGCACACCCAAAATCTTGAAAAAAGACGGGTGGCGTGCACTTACTAACCCTAACTTGTCCAGGGGGATTTCATCCATATACTGCGCATGAAAGTAGTAGTTTTTTGGGTTGTTTGTTTGGTGGACTGAATTGGTTATGCCCCCAAAACCCTGAGTGCTGCATGCCACCCACCAAATGTGACTACCCGATCAAGCAAAGTCAGACACTTTTGGTTTTTTGGATAGAGTCCTGCAGGAAGTTGCTGCTCCTATCCCATCCAGAGAAGTGGAAATTGCTATTGCTTTCCAATTCTCTGGATTCTCAGGGCCTGTACCACAGCCCCAATTTTGAGGTCAATTCCCAATTCTCAAGTTGGAAATTGACTCTGCCAGTAACACCCAATTCCCACAGTACAGAAGCCAGATTTTCAGTGCCAACCCCCAAATGATTTTTGATTGGCAAAAAAAAAAAAAAAAAAAAAAAAATGAAATTGAAAATCAGTAAATTGGCTGGTTTGTGATGGTACAGGCCCTTACACCTGGGGCCAGCAACTCCCTGGTGTAGTCAGCAATGGGTGTGCTGCTACCCCACCCTACACTAAGTGGTGTTGAGATACCTGTATGTAGTCATCATATGCTTGTAGTGAGGTATGCTTCTACTAAGCACAACATCTCTACTAGATTGCCGGTCTCTTTCTCTTCTCCTTTCCTTATCGAAATCTAAACCTATGTTTCTCACTCAGTCAACCTCACAGTGAGTTTGGTTGTTCATCTCTCTGTTTCAATCACCTGAGTGCCCCTCAACAAATGGCCCCTAGTGGCCCTCAAAACATCAACAGCTGAAAGGACTCAACAAATTTCAACTGTTGAGTCCTTTCCCCTCCCTTTCTCTTTCTCTCAGGATTATCTTTGATTAGCAGTAAGATTTGTATCCACCCCACCAAAGATTGTCCTTCAGGAAATTTGAAATACTGCTTTCAAATAGTATGGGATATTGGGCTATCTTGGTCATCATGATGCCAATCTTTGATGGGATGGACAGGTAGAAGCTGGGACAGCGTGTGTGTGACTGATGTGGAAGGATAAATCCCATCAGTGATGAAAAAAAGAGAGACAGAATATTGGACATGAACATGAAAAGAAAACAAAAGAAAAGAAAAGAAAGAGACAAAAGAGAGAGAAACTGGATACCTGGGACAGCATGTGGATGATGTGGAAGGATGAGGAAAGAAAATCCTCCCGCAAGTGAGTTAGGGTATACCACAAACCTATAGATAAATCTCAAGTCCCTTGAAGCAAGGAGGGACTTGGTTGAGTTCAATCCAGAGCCAGGTACCCAACGAAGCAGTTGCCTCAGGACAAAGCCTCAAATGGCTTGGGAGACTAGGCCAAAACTACTTTTTGGTTCCAATGAACAAAAGTCCCACAAGAATTGGAGGACTTCCCATCAACATCTGCGGGTCTGCCAGAGCCGGTTTAGAGCCTCGAAATTCAATTAATTTCTCTGCGAGAATCAAGAATTTTCGGGTCCAAATCGACTTCTGCAAGGGCCCCAGAACCGACGGGAAGTCCTCCATATCTAAAACCCTCCCAAATCTGACATTGTCAGGTTGATGCAGCTACCGGATAGACACCGGATCTCTCTTGACCGCATCCGTGACCCGATACAGCCCGTTACATATCCGGTTACATGATGATGACATGATCCGGGGCTGCGCGGTCTCCCGCACCCCGTGGGGCTTCCCCCGGGTGAAGGTATATATAACGGACTGATGACCATCAGTAGGTTGGGCAGCACCGATCGAGCAAACCAAAACCAAAACCAAAACCAAAACCAACAAGACGGTCAACAGGAAGAAGAAGAAGAAGAACGATGGCAAAGCTGAAGGACTTACCAGCCGAACTGATTCATAGGATCATCGATCAAGTTATCATCGACCAATTAGCACAGCAACACTGTCCACACCATCATCACCATCACCACCACCCAGACCACCATCACTTCGACCTCAACTCAGACCCCACAACAACCACACCACAACCACTGGCTCATCAACAAGCAATCGATCTCAACCCAAATCAACCTGATACCAACAATCAACAGCGAAATAACACCAACAACAGAACTGCATCCCAACAACAACAACAGCAGCAACAGCAACAGCACCGTCAACATCATCATCACCATCACCACCATCATCCTGACCATGAGGACGAGGGCGAAGACGAAGACGCAGACGAGCCAGAGGATGAGCATCGTCATACTCGAAACTCAACCTCAAATACCACCCCAAACAACTTCCCCCCGTTCAATCTAACCGATTTCAGTGTATCCTTCACGTCAGTCCCTACCCACTTGACCACCCAGAAAGAAACACATGACCTCTAATTACCATCTTGTTCTTCTCACAGCTCGGCCCCCGGTGGGGATTTCGGTCTCTCGACTAGTACTTCCAATCATGCCGACTTTGTCGATCCAGATGAGACTGAGGATGTTAGTTAATTCGATTTCCTCTTGGGCTATCTTTGAGACTATCTTCTAATCATCATCATCTTCTTCCCTCTTTCAATCCTTCCAAAGGATCCACAAGTTTCTTGGCCAGATGGTAGGTCATCCTCAGAAAGTTCTGAAACAACTCGCCTTATTGATCAAGATCGATTCGCTCTCCACAGGTCTCCCATCAGACGTCCTAGTCACTTTCTCCCTCATCAACCGGACCTTCCAACAATGCGCCCAGGAGAGACTCTACAAACATGTAGCACTATACAGTCCATGGCAAGCCAACCTATTCCTACGGACGTTGAATCGTAACAAATCAGACTGCTCGCCACTTCTTCAAGAACAATCGGCTGCAATCCCTGCCTCGATCGACATCAAGGGTAAGCGTAGGGCTCAGTTTGATGGCAACCAGCTCTCATCACCTCGGATTTATCGTCGATTGAACAGACTAGGAGATCTTGTTCGCTCCTTACGTTTCGTCTGGATGGGACCGGCTTCGATGGGCAAAGGTGGCGGATCTCTAATCTGTGATATCCTCCAGAGTTGCCCACAACTCGAAAACATCGCGATCAGTACTGCACTTTTAAGCCATTGTAAGGAGCCACTCTTCCGGGCCTTGGAACATCGAACGTTGATCAAAGAATTCTCGATCCTCAAGAACCCAGTCGAAAACCCTCGAAAGTTCCTCTGGAAGGCAGATGAAGTCCTCAGCAGATTGTTCACCAAGTGGGATATGCTCGAGACCATCGAACTGATCGGACTCTCCGGAAGGCCACTCGATCGGATGGAAACCGTTCTTAGGTCGATACCCAGCTTCAATTGTACTCTGAGAGTCATCTCCTTAACCCGGCCGAATCTGGCAGAGATCGAGATCTCGAAGATCTTAAACACCTCTAAAGCTACCATGAATACCCTCCGGATTACCCACCCTAGTCTCAAACTCGATCGCAAAGGTTTATATCGGCTCTTGATCGACTATACTAATCCTGCCTTGGAATCTCTCACGATCCATGTCAGCAAGGATTGGCATCCGATCAACCCGGGGCGTGGTAGTGCTGCAGCAATTATAGAAGCATCTAACGACCCAACCCAAAACCCACATCTATTCGATATCTTATTCAAATCGTCTGCCATGCGAAACCTCAAGTCGTTATCGATCGGTGGTCCCCTGGCTAGCTCGAAGCTCTTCCCTGTCTTACCAGAAACAATTGTCAAACTGGCTTGGGAAGATTGCACTGCCATCCAACCTAGTTCGTTTGCCAAGTTCCTGTCGAGCTGGCCCAAACAAAAGTCGGACCTTTCCGGTAATCTTGATCCCAATTCCATCACCGCTGAACAGACCGGTAGGACTCTACCCGACCTAAAGTGTTGCTCGGTCGGTACTGATGATTTCAACTGTTGAGTCCTTTCCCCTCCTTCGCTCTTTCTGTCAGGATTATTCTTGATTAGCCGGTGAGATTTGCATGATTTAGGCTGACAAGATCCCTGCTAATAAAAAAAAAAACAGGGAAACGGGCTGACCGACGAGCCGTGGAAAATGCGCTGAAAGAACGGAATGCATGTTTCCACAGCAGTAACTGTCAAGCCTTCTTTCCCCCAGCTTGGTTTAGGCCACCCAGCGATAGTGACGATGAAGAGACGCACAGCAACTTGGGCGAAGGATGGGATGATGGTGAAATGAATGAAGATCCTGACTTTGATATTCCTGAGGATGATGACGAGGATGATGATGATGATGATGATGATGATGACGAGGATGATGATGATGACGAAGACGATGAAGACGACGACGACGATGGTGCGGCGGGAGGAGCCAATAGAACTCGCAGCCACGGGTTTATCCCGCCGCCGGCCATGATGTTCCCGGGCCTGTTCGGGATGCCAATGGCTGGCTATTCCTTCCCCTTCCCGGGAAGCCCGGGCGCCGAAGGCTCGGCGACGGCATGGATGTTCGGCTCGGCTGGTCTGCCGGGTCAGTCCGCCAGCTCTCGTTCGGGCTCTACGGGCGGACCCACTTCTACCACAAGACCCCCGGCCCACCCCTCCGGGTCTGCTAATCCAAGTCGCACTCACTCGTCCAGATCCAACACAACCCCGTCCACTCGTAACACCCCCTCCACCGGCGATCACTCGCAAGGACAATCTCGCACTAACCAAGCCGGTCCTTCTTCTTCTACTGCTGCTCCTGCTGCCGGCTCTGCTCCTGGCGCTTCTTCCACCTCCTCGTCCACTCGTAGACCTAAATCTCCAGGCCTGTTTGGACCGGACTTTAAGTTTGGTAAAATGTTTGATTAGATTTCTGCTACCAGTACCACCTCCAAAAAAAAGACCATGTATCTTCTCTTGTCTGCAAGGCTTCCTTTTTGTTGGTATCTAACTTTACACTACAGTACACAGTACACAAAAAGAAGCAAGAAAGAGAATGGTCCTATATACTTTATATCAATATACACACACATGCATAAAATTATTTCCTTTTTTTTTGATCTATTGCGTTGTTGGTCTCGCAACAAGTATCTTATTCTGTAGTCTCAAAAAGAAGACCACAAACCAACATAACAACCTGCATGGTTTTTGTTTCTCATTTTGATTGGTTGATTGATTGATTGATTGATTGTTCTTCAGGGTGTACTAGTACCAGTAGTAGCATGTTGATGTAGTCGTTTTTTTTTTTCTTCTTCTTTCTAACAATGATCCTTATTGTGTTGGTTCTAACAAAAAGCTGAAGATTGTATCTCTCTTTTCTTTTCTTTTTTTCTTTTTTTCCCCTGGTAACCTCTAAAAATATCTTGCTTGTGAGATAGATGATATCCATCAGAAAATTCACTTTTTTAACAAAAAAAACAACAATCTCCATGTGTTGCCAGTCTGGTTGGTGGCCCCAGTACACACACTTTGGTGTGCCCAGCCAAAATCAGAAATTTTGCAATTTCTCACCTGCAAAAAGTTGGGTGCACACATGTGGTCAACCCTGGTTACCAGTTTCTTGGTATAAAATTGCAGATAGCATAGACTGACCCAGGATTTTTTTGGATGTCTGAATTGGTGAGCCGAAACCAAGATTTTTTTAGACTTTTACAGCCAAACCAAAAAAGTTTGTGGTCTTGGTTGGCAGAAGATTCAGAAAAAAATAGTGATAATTCTGACTGCAGTCAGAATCAAATCTTTGGAGTGATACAGCCTGTGTACAGGTTGTAAAATACCTGCTGGTAGCGCCAACAGACAGGACAGGACAGGACCCAACAAGCCGGCCCTATGGGGGGCAGGGGCATGAGTGACATCCAGGGCAGGAGCTGGTGAGACTAAAATTTCCCTCAGGGTTCCAATGGTCTTCCTCTCATGACCTGGAAATGGGGGAAAGAAAGATAGGGACTTTACACTCAAGTAACCCCTGTATGCAAATAGGCATACAGGGTGTTGTATTCTTCCAAAGATTCCAACTGCACACCAGGAAAGATAAATACTCACTAGATGGCAGGTGACAGTGTGTAACATTGATCACTGCTCCTCTGTAGCTTCAACTGTGCTACAACCCAAGGCCCCTTTGTGTGCTACAAGGGGCTGAGGAAGAGTTGAGCTGGGTATGTACTGGGTAGCATGCTGAACTTAGGCTGATGTCGCTTGTCATCAAGTGGCCATTGTTCTTCCCTGGTGGCAGTTGGTAGGTTTTTTTGGCATCTTCCGCCAACCAAGGCTGCAAGCTTTCTTGGTTTGGCTGTAGGCTCTTTTTAGCCTTCAAAATGTTTGAAACATACTGTAGAGCATTCACTGATGCATAAGATAGATGCTACAGGTATGATAGAGGAGTCTGAGAGGTATAGCCCTATGATTATAGATTTTTGGATTTAGACATGACTTTTGTTGGGCATGTCCAAACACATGCACGCGGCCAAAGAAAAGGCTGGTGCAGATGCTTAGTAGTTGTAATTTTGAACTCTACACATGCATACAAGTTCAAAGCCGCAATAAAATTAGGTGTGATGGTATATGCTCCCCCCAGGATAGATAGGCCCTGTGTGTCAATTTTGAATTTTGTGGGCAGGGTGTGAGGGTCGGCCTGCTACCTTCCAGTATCCAGTGGCCATGAAGTTAACTCAATGGAGTAACTTGCCTGGGTAAGAAGATAGTAGTCAAATTAAACTTCTGAGTAACTCAAGTGAAGTTTAACCATAAGTCAAATAATGTTTGATGATGAATTAATAAGTAGTAATCTAATATATAAATGATGATTAGAGATGGCCCCGGCGCATCCGCATATCCGGCTGCTTTTTCCGGGGAAACAGCCATCCGCACCCAAATCTGCAGCCGCTGGCGGGTATCCCCCCGCCTTAGCGGGTATCCCCCCGCCTTAGCGGGTATCCTTGGATACTCACCCTTTAAAGGGACGGCGAGGCACCAGCTGGAAGGGTTTCCTTCCAGCCGGTGAGGTAAATGTACCTTGTTGACTGTTTCCTTCCAGCCGGCCATTGGCCTTGGGTATCCGTGGGGATACCCGGATATCCGCCAGATTTGGGGGGGAAAACGGCCATCTGCACCCCCTGGTGATGATAAGAAATATTGTGATGAAGAAAGAGAAAGAGATCAGAGGGAGGAAGAACAAGCATAAGACTATGTCAACTGAAGCACAGACCCTATTACAAAATGATTTTCACAAATGACATCATTTGGATGAAGAAAACATAATAATGAATCATGATGTAACCTTAATGAAACAAGGTTATATACATAAATCATGCCATCATCTAAATACTATCAATAGTTATCTAAATAATCTTACCTAATCTTCAACATACCAGATCAGTTATGACACAGGGAAGGGTTGCTATATGCTGTCTGCAACTGCATATGGTTTGATTCTCATATGTACTTCTGATAATCCTTGTGAGTGTATGTGATTGTGAAATCTACAATCTAAATGAATTTATTTATTGACTCATCTGGCTATAGTGTAGGTGCATAGCAAGCTCACTCCAATAAGAAACTGAATCAACTTTAATGAAGGTGCTGAGTTGACAAACTTAAGACAAGTCTTCCAACATCAGGTGCACCCGGCAGTGTAGCACTGGCCAGGTGGTTCCCAAAGGGAACTCTCCATAGGGGATACTTGCACCTGAAGTTGAAAAACTGGCTTGTCCAGAATGGACTCTTTTGGTGGGAGCAACTTGAATTTTTCAACCACATAATCTGCTCCAAACTCTTTGAATGTTTGGTTGGATTTTCTTGATTGGATGCATGATTCTGTCCATCCATCCAAAGCTCAAAATATGTACAGTCTGTTGTGATTTTATAATGATTTTCTAAAATCAGGGTTTGAACTCATTTTCAGCTCAATCACTGGGTTTGCTCAACTCACACACACCAAAAAAAGTCAACTTGATTTAAAAATTTGTCCTTCTTGAAAATAGCCAAAAAAAAAATGAAAACATAACAAAAACAAGTGGATAGTGGGAAGTGTGTAAAACAAGTCCACTCTCCTAGACCTGGAAGGAAGTATGGTAGATGTGGATGATGAAGAGTGTAGAGAGAAAAATACAAGAACTGGAGAGACAAAGGGGCTGAGAGCAGCTGCCAGCAGGCACATCTGTTTAAGGATTAGGATTCATTTCACAATAAAAAGAGAAAGGAAAATAGAAGAAAGAAGAAAAGAAACAAAAGAGAGTATACATGAGAGCAGCAGGCACAGGCTAGGTGAGTGGCCATGGTTTGTGGGAGGATGAGGAAAGAGTTCTTCCATGACTGCTGTATCAGGTACAATACATGAAATGTGAAATGTATGTGAGCCAACAATGGGTCTTTACTGTACTCTACGATAACCAGCCCCTTTTGTTATAGTAAGTGTATGCTTGACCACCCGTTACTAATACCGGTACTAGTAAAGGACCAAGCCCCAAGCAACTAGAATAGTATTGAGGCACCCATTTTTTGGTTGCTTCATACAGATATATGTTGGGTGTGACAGGGGATGAATCCTGAAGTTCACAGACAAAATGTCTGGTGACACTCAGAGTGAGAAAGAAAAGGTTTTGGATTCCATGAGAGAGAAACTCCTACGGCAACCTAGTATAGACTATATACAGGTTGCTAGTGTTATGTTTGAAGCATACACCATAATGAATATGGGTATACTCCAACACACCCCCTTGCTGAAAACAGAACTTAATTTGAAAAGAAATACTTAAAACTACTCAGGATAACTAGTAGTGATATTTCAGACTGGGGACAGAAATTAAAATTATAATCAAGCCAGAGATCCGATGGAAATAAGGAGAAGGGAACTGTCATGATAACAAATATACTAGCATATTGCCATGAGGAATTGACTATCAGGTTGTGCCGGTGTTGCCCTTCCTACGAATTAAAAGATTTCTTCTACTTCAGGGTTCATCCCCAAACGACATCGATTTCTCTGTCGAAGTCGTCGTCTTCGTCTTCGTCCTCATATTCACTTTGATTGCCGCCACCTAGTTGGACTACCGACGTGGCACCAGCCCTAGTTTCGAATCTAGCTTTTCCTTTGTTCTTGGCCGAAGGGTTGGGACATGCCGAGGAGTGGTGGCCTACTTGTCCGCAGTTCCAGCATCCAGGTTTTTTCTTCTTGACAACTGCTGGAGCTGCAAATGTCTCAGGAGGTTGATCAAAAGAGACCTGCATGGAAACCTCATGTGCTTCAAGGGCTCCGATGGCATCGTCGAGTGACATCTCGTTTGGCGAGTAGACCAGGTGATCGCGAATAGGTTTCCAGCTTTCGTCTAGACCGCGGAGTAGCCGGTCACAGATTTGTTGATCGGCCGGAGATAGCTTTACCGACTTCAGATCAGAAGCTGTATTGCAGATACGAGCTATCCACGTCGCAATTGGCTTGTTTGGGTCGTGACGAGCGGACCAGAAAGCGTCTTGAAGCATCATCCGTCTAGCCCGGGTATTCTTTTCGTACGCATCACAGATCGTCTTGAAGAGGACATTGACCGGTTTGGTTTCCTTGTAGCGTATGGCCAAATCGATCGACAGCGTCATCTTCAAGGTAGCACGAGCCATGTCCGAGGGACTATCCCAGTCGGATCCGGACTCTTCGGCATAGTAAAGTCGCTGCGAGCCTTGGGTGACCGGTTTATTGCCCTCCTTGTAATCGGTCTTGGCCCCGGAGTCTTGGGTCAAGGGAGCTTACCGGTGACAATATCGTGCACCCCCTGGATCGCAAAGAGCTCCTCTAGTCGGGTGCGCCAGGATGGAAACATAACCAAATTACCTTCGAGGACCGGAACGTTGCTGATGAGGGCCGAGGGGTTCTGTATAGATCGTGCAGGCATTTTCCTAGTCGAGTTGGGGAGCTTAGCGTATGTTTTGTGAGTGAGTTCGAGTTCGGTTCCGAAGGGAGCGAGTTCGAGAGTGAACGAGAAAAAAAATTATCGTAAGCAGGCTGAGCGATGGGCCTCATAACCTGTTGGGTGTGACAGGGGATGAATCCTGAAGTTCACAGACAAAATGTCTGGTGACACTCAGAGTGAGAAAGAAAAGGTTTTGGATTCCATGAGAGAGAAACTCCTACGGCAACCTAGTATAGACTATATACAGGTTGCTAGTGTTATGTTTGAAGCATACACCATAATGAATATGGGTATACTCCAACAATATAGTTACAGGCTTTACCCCTGGTTAACACAATGACCAACTCCACCAGGGGCAAAAGGCATAAAAAAGCCCTAATTTGATGATAGCAGGCCTTTGGTGAGCTATCCCCTGCTTATATGTGGGAAATACCCCTGCTAGCATCCCCAGAACCCTTATCCCAGATACTAGAAGCAGCATGGCCTCAGAAACTCCAAAATCCACTCAGAATTACCCCTCTGGCAGTAAAAATACTGAAGGCTATTCTACTGATCACTCTCAGACTCAACAACACCACTCATCAAGAGCTTCATCTCTTGTCATTGCACCAAACATGGTGGCACCATCATGAGACTCGCGGGTGAGATTGTAATGGCTGGCTCCTCACAAACGTCCAGCAAAGGCAGAACCTTCATCCAATTCCAAATCGGCTGTTGAGATTCAGTCTTGTTCTGAAGACAACAGAGAAAAAAAAAGTTGTTTCCGTCTTTGTTATTGCTCATGGGTCCATTTGCTCAGTAACAGAAAAAAAATCCCAATATCTTAGTTATTGTAACAAAAGCAAATAAAACACAAGCCGCAAACTGGGATATTGTAAAGAAAAATCCAATACAGATTGCGGTAAAACCCGTAAGGTTATTGAGTCAAAAAAAATACTGTAACGGTACAATACCAATATCTGTAAAGTTAAGACCCATTGTTGTGTGAGCTCTGGTAGACATGTATAGACCAGAAAAGAGAGAGATAAATAGGTCACAAATTAATATGCATAGCTCCACATTTCAAGCCCAATTTTGAAAACTTGTCATGTGGGACTTTCAACTGAAGGCATTGACCTCTACTGGCCTGGAAAGCTCCGCTGATTGCTCTGAGTCCCAAGGTGAAGGCCTATTTAAGCTTGCAAATTGATCTCCATGGGCTGTATCCTAAAATAATGTGACACGTTGGTTTCATCAAGTCTCTCTCCTGTTCCTGGAGGGCCCAATCCTGCAGGGAGGGACTTGCATATAATCTTGCTCATATTTCCTGAGAGCATCCAGCCAAATGGCTGGATAAATCACAATATTCCCCATTTGTGCCTGAAAATCACTACTGTTAAGGGAGCCGTGGAGGACATAAAATCAAATGAATTTTCTCATTTTTCCATTCCATTACTTTCATATCATTCCTCAAGAGATTGTGCTTGATAAAAATGAAAAATAAAAAATCTGATATGACCATGAACAGATATTTCCACACCGATGTCCAGTCTCACACTATCACACCATTTCCAGATGTCAACACCCTCATTGTGTTTCCAGCTGTCAATTACCTTGATGAAACCTTTGAACTACACCATGACATATTTTAGGCTCCATTTGTCAGTCCATTATATCATAAGTAAAAATATGTAAATCCAGATAATTGGAATAAGGTGGATGAACTTTAAACCAATTATCACAAAGCTAGACAATCCGCTGCTCATTACCAGCGGTGGGCCGCCTCGCTACGCTACGCTTTTGGCCCAAAAAGCGTAGCGTAGCAACACTTTTTTCATCCAAAAACCGTAGTGTTAGCGGTTTTTCGCTACGCTACGCTGCACTACAGCGCTTTTAGCAGAAAAAGCGGCCAAAAACCGCTAAAAACCGCTGTAGCGCAGCGTAGTGGGCCCTTTTTTGAGGCCCACGCGCGTAGCGTTAGCGGTGTCGTGGCGGAATTCCGCTACACTACGCTAATTGCTAACAGCGATTCCGCTGCGTTACGCTACACTAACCGCTACGGTTAGTGTAGCGGCCCACCGTTGTCATTAAGGTGGATTTTTAATGTTATAGCATGACCAGCCAAACACAATTTTGAATGGGTCTTAGTTAAACGACTCCCAAATATTGGAGTTCCGACTCCCAAATATTTGGGACGTCACTAAGACCCCCCGCGGACGGTCCGCAGGCCGTCCGCCACCGGAGATGGAGTCGGACCTCCCAAACCCTCAACAGGTTTGGGAGTCAATCATCTCAAGAAAAAATAAAAATAAAAAGATAAAAGAATGGAAACCCCACGGGGGTTTTTGGGAGTCAATCTTCA